AATATCTGTTTTCTTGATGGCGGCAAAGTATTTTAATTTTGGAGGAGACATTTGTGTACACAACCAAATAAAATTAAATTATAAATAATTGGGGATTATTAGCAACTTTGTCTTCCTCTGTGTGACTCTTTTTGTTAATTTTTGTCTCTTAGGATAATCCCACAGTAGTCGTTGAAGACTTGCGGCTTTGCACAGTTAAACACTGTGAAGACATAGAAAGACGTTTCTGTTTTGAGGTGGTTTCTCCAACAAAGTAAGGAGAAGCGATGGCGCATGTTTATTTAAACATAAAAAAAATCGTTGCATTCAGCTGTCTTGAAATGCAAGATTAACATTTCTCTTGGGATGGATCAAAACTGGAAAAGCATCTGAACAATTCTGTTCTCTGAAATTTTGACTAAGTGATGTTGTGAGAAGTGTTCCTAGAGTTTAGTTTACTTTTGGCATTAAAATAAACACACATTCTTGTGCTTTATGCATACATGGTTTGTGGTTGTGGAGCTGTTGTGGCTTAGTAGCAGCTGATACTATCAAGCTGCTTAGTAATGTAGAAAACAGATCTCGGTTTCTCCAAATTTCTGATTAGTGTAATGAGAGAGAAACATACTAAAGTTGTTGTCTCAGTAGTGTTAAATTACATTTCAGAATGATGCATTAAATGGAACTACCGCATAAAAATGTTTTTCAGCTCTAGCAGTGCAGTGTATTGGTTGTATTTGGAGAAGTATGGCAGTCCTGCTGCAGCAAGGGCAGGACATGGATTTCTCATTGGTGATTTTGAGAGGTGACCATATTTAAGTTTTTGATACAAGGTCAACCTGCTTACAGGTTTAGATGTTATCTACACTCCCCACTCATGTGTCTGTTAATAAATTGCTGTCCTAGTGTTTGCATCCTCAGTTGTGGTTCACTTTAAAATGCATTTTGCTCCTGCTTGCCTATATTTTTTTCAACTCATAACTGTTGGAACAGTTTTATACTGCATGACCTACTTCCTTGGACTGTTGTTGTGAAAAGTAGTTCATTCTTTGTCAGAGAGCTTTAAAATCTTTTCTCTTGATCTCAGTGAATGAAACTGTATTTTCGAGGACAGATACCTGTATCTTGTCATTAGTCATGGAGGTAAATTGTATATGAGGATATAAAAAAGAAAAATTTGGAATAAGAAAGGAAAGGGAATAGGAAGCTAAGCCATTCTCTGCATTATTTGAAGAGGCATATCGGTATGTTTTAGCATTACCTGCAAATAGTTTTGAAAGGAGTTTGCAATTCATAAAGGGTCAGCTGCTTTGTTAGCTCAAAATAAACAGGTTTATTACATGATGCCTACTAAACAATATACTTGTGGTGACAGCAAAAACTTTCTCAAGAGTTTGTATGTTATTGAACAATGTGTTGTTTGATGTTAGCTGCTTGGTCAGTCTCTCTGAATCTGAGTACACGTGTGATTTGTCACAGAAGCTGCATGCTTCAGGCTGACTCGGAAAAGCTGCGGCAGGCGTGGATTAAGGCTGTTCAGACCAGTATTGCTACAGCGTACAGAGAGAAAGGGGATGAATCTGAGGTGAGTTTAAAAACCAACCAAACCACTACCCTGCTTTAGATCCTGAAAATTAAAAATAGAGAAAACCTCTTTTGATGAGAGGAAGAAAAAAAGAATCAGTTTTTTTTGTCTTCCAGTGGAAATGCAATGAAATGTTGAAGGCTGTGATTTATATCTAATCTGTCTTTCACTCCACCTTACTTTGGCCTATATATTTTGATGAGATTTTTCTGTGGTGTGATTAAAATTCATAGGATACTGCTATATTCAGTTCAATATTTTTTCTAAAAAGCTAAACATTTTTTCAGTTCTATGGCTTTTCTTGGCCTTAAATGCAGAAGTTCCTTCTCTAGGATTCTAGTGCAAAGCCAGTATCTGGAGGACTTTTATTTCTTTAGTTTAGTGTGTGTGTCTTGTTTCTTTTCTTTTTTAGAAACAGGAAAAGAAATTATCCCCTTCTACTGGAAGCCTAGAATCTGGAAGTGAGACAAAAGAGAAGTTGTTAAAGGGAGAAAGTGCTCTACAGCGAGTTCAGTGTATTCCTGGTAATGCTGCCTGCTGTGACTGTGGTTTGGCAGATCCTCGCTGGGCCAGTATCAACCTAGGAATCACGCTGTGCATAGAGTGCTCTGGGATACACAGGTTGGGGAACTCTTCAGAACTGTACTTGATTTGTGCATTGACTTAATTAGGAAGGGTGGTGTTTGCCTCTTCAAATGTATATTGAAGCAAGATTAGAGACCTCTGTAAATAGAATTAAGGTAACTGCTTTATTTGCATAAATTAATGGTAAAGCTTGTCTGAAGTGAGACATAGTGTGTAGTTACAGGTTAACATTTTTTTTGGTGCTGTTTAGGAGCTTGGGAGTCCACTTTTCGAAAGTAAGGTCTCTAACGCTGGATTCATGGGAACCTGAACTTCTAAAGGTATGATAGTATTTTTGAAACCTGTTTCTGTTTGGTACTTAGACTGTCATTATAAAGCCTCTGCCTCAGAAAGTTCAATGTAGGAAGCACTTGCATTTGTACCCAATGCCTGTCTTGCACTTTTGAGAAGAAAATGTTTAAAGTTGTCTACTGGGTTTTTTAATTCCCACTTTCTCATAATACATGCAGTAGCAGTAGTCATTCTAGTTACAAACTTGTGACTTGGAACAGCTTATGACACCTTCAGGTTCGCAAATGTACTTTGAGTAGCAAGTTTCATCTGATACTTTCAACATATAAAAAGGGGAATCTGTTTACAGGCCAGCCTAAAGCTGATCACGCTTGAAAATTCAAATGCCAACTCTTACAGGGAGATCTTGATTTTGTACTCCTACTGGTTTATAGAGAACACTCATGCAACTGCTCTTGTGTATTGTTTGTGTGCCAAAATTCTAGCTTGAAAAATCATGTGACATTGGAATAACGAAATAGGAATTCATGCATGGATGTGTGTGTAGCTGGATAACTGATGCGAAGCATTTGTTTCTAGCTTTGATGTTCTGGTACTTAGATATTGCTTCTCTATTCTGAACAATCAAAAGACAGTGTGAGTAGGGGTGTTTCTCTTGTGTTTTGACCTTAGATAATTTTAATATCAATATGTTTGGGGGTTTTTGTGTTTCCTCAGCACAAAAACTGCACCCCTTGTCCTGTTCATGTAATTACTAAAGCTGGATATTCTACCTGGTGTTAGAAACCAGAAGTCTGTTCATTGCCATCAGTAAGCTGGACTTCATGGGCCAAATTCTCCTTAAAGTAGTATCTGCAGGCTGGTTTTTGTCTTTGATCTTTTTCTATAGACGTAACAGATTATGGTTTAGCAAAAATGTCTGTTGGACAAGATGCAATAGAATTGATTGAATTGTCTCTTGCCGATGGGATAAGAGTAGCTACCGGCAAAGCCGGTGGGGAAAAAGTACCTTTGTTAAGGAGGCCTGCAGATGTCATTCTGTTTGCACAGAAAAAAGGTTCTTGAATGACAGATGGTCATTTTTGCAGTCCTTTTTCAGAGGAGAATGGCACTTTAAAAGAGTAACTAGCTTTTTTGCTGTCTTACTCAGAATTTGGTGTCTCTGTTCACTGATTGTTTCATTATAACATTACAAACCCATGCTTATTTCTGTAAGGGTGCTTTTACTAGTGAAAACACTAAGCTGTAAAAATAGGCTGAGTGAGGTTGAAAACAACTAAATAGGTAGATAAAGCCTTTTAAAACTGTATTTGAATTTATTTATTTTGCTTTATAGCTTATGTGTGAGTTGGGGAATGATGTTATAAATAGAATATATGAAGCAAAGTTGGAAAAAGTGGGAGTAAAGAAGCCACAACCTGGAAGCCAAAGGTAGTAATTTACTAGCAGTGCCTCTTACTTTCCTTGTTGCTTCCTTCAGCCTCCAGCTTTAAAAGGTGATGCCAGTTAACTGCGTAACACTCCTTTGATTTACTCCTTCTTTTCCCCTTATCACCAGTATGTTTTGTTCTCCCCCTTTTCCCATTCTCTGTCTTTATTGAGTATTCCTTCTGTTGATCCCTTTTGGCTTCTCTTATTCATTTGTGCTTTTTCTGATCTCACTCCCTGCTTTTGACAACTCGATGGCATCCTGTCTCATCAACATGAGCATGTTGTTTCTGTTTCCTGTCTACTTTGTACCACCTCAGCCAGCTATACTTGGTCTGTGAGTCCTCCTGGAAGGAGCATGTGGCTGTGCCTTTTGTTTACAGTGACTTTATTCTTGAGTTTGACTTCTGTTCTCTGGTCCCCAGAATGCTCTTTTCTTTCTGCCTACATTGTACATGAGCTCTGCTGCTTTACAGCAACCTTATAATGATTGTACTGCTGTCTTCCAGTTCTCTGATGCTAATTTGTGTTTGAAGGTAGTTTCCTGATGTTTTGTTCTGCTGTATAAGATGTCTTTTAAAACTTCGGTTTTTACTAGCTTTCCAGTTCTGTGCTGCTTGCTATCAGGCAGCTGTACGGTATACAAACCAGCTGTTTATCAAGAGTCGGCAATTTAGAGACAATAATGAGGGAGATCTGCTAGATATTCCTTCCAGTGGTAACTGCTTTTCAGCAGTTTCAATTGTGATACTTTTATAGCCCCTTTCATTAATTTGTCACAACTGGTGCATGTGTCTTAAGATGATAACCTCAGGTTACAAGAAAAATTATTGTGGTATGCATTGGGGAACTAGTGGCTGTGCCTGCCTGAGGCTTCTTGTTGTTATTGTTCTTTTGTGCAATCTGGGTGTTCCTTTAACAAATGTTGCGATTTATATTCACCTAAGAAACTAAATATATGCTATATTAATTGGTTATTAACAATATAAAACATATATAAAGGATTAATACCAAGAAGTAGCATACAGTAACTAATGCCTATTTGTTCCACATACCACTTTCTAAAGTCTCTGCCTGAAAGAAAATATACATATATGAACTTAACAAAATAACTTTCTTTTGAGTCTTATGCAAAACTTAATCAAGAATCCAGAAAGAGTTAGTCAGTTTCCTTTTCATCTTTCTGAAAATGTGCTGTAGGTGTATCTTACGTGCAGTGCCAAACTACCATTTTGGTAACTGGCTTTAGAATGAAATAGATGTTGTTCTAATCATGAAAATACTAAAATATTAGCTTACTAACTCCAGGGATTTTGTACATGACAGGCAGGAGAAGGAAGCATACATCAGAGCAAAATATGTGGAAAGAAAGTTTGTAGAGAAGCAGCCTGCGTCAGTATCTCTGCTTGAATCTGGAACAAAAGCTTTGCCTCAAAGTCAGGAAGAGAAAAGGCACAGTGGCCCTGAAAAATCCCTTTTGGCAGGGGAACAAGGTGCAGCATCCCAAAAAGGTATTTGCACACTTCTCTCCTTAGTTATGTTACATGTGTCCTTTTTAAAGTAACGTATTTCTGTACTAATTGATTTCCTGCCTTGTGCAGAGCAATCTGAATCTGGCTTTTAATGGGTCGTAGCCTAGTTCAGAAGTATAGGGGAGAAAAGACTTGTTCAGATCTGTGCATTTTTAGGTGGGGAAGAATTTGGAGTGGGGATGCTTATTCAGAAACATATTAACCACCTTCTTTCCTCCGTATTTTCATCCTTCTTAATTTTTCCAATAACGTTCTTTCCTGCCCTATCCCTTCCTTACTGCCTGCTTTGTGCTTTGCTAACTTGCATGTCCCAGCGGTTGCTGTAAGTAGCGACGAGGCGAGGCGGGAGTCTCTGTTCTGTCCTGATGAACTAGATTCACTCTTCTCCTACTTTGATACCTCTTCAAAACTACGTAGTAGTAAGTACTACAGCTATGGCGTGTTCAGTATTTGCACTAGTGATCCATTGTCTGTTGTGGCCACCTCCCTGCCTTTAATCTATTGTCTCCAGGCAACTGCATTGCTTAGTGTTTTCATGAAATAATTTAAGCTTTTTTACTTATCCTGATCTTTTCCTTTCTAATAATCTTTGACATTTATTATGATTATAAATGTTATGGTTGCATATATGTGAACTTCATCTTTTTCTATGTATGCATTAAGAATATTTAATAATTGCTAGTAATTTTTTAAAAATTATGTATTCAGGACCAAGTATAAGAGCTTGCTTTATTATCATGGTATCTGTGAAGAGTAGGTAACGTACAGCCTGCATAGTAATTACAGTTTCTCCCCCAAAACAGTACGAAGCAGTGACAGTGGGATCCACCAGAGTGCTGATGACAGCAGAGAACACCTTGCCTCTACTGTATCAGCTAACAGTTTGTACGAACCAGGTGCGTTAGGCTTTGCACTTCAAGATGAAGATGCAATCACTTCTTGGTAGCATGTTCTTGTAAAAGATAGTACTTGATGATACAAATAATGTCTCTTCTGTCCTCGTTGGCTGAAACAATTTTAACAAGGGTAATAATTGCTTGAGTGACCTTTCTGTCCTCTAGGCTTGGTAGCAAGAATGACAGTGAACCCTTCTAAATGAGTTCAGAGAACTATATTTTTTTCCAGTTAGATGATACTGAACCAGAACTTTGGGGTTTTGCAGTTAGAGCAGTGCTGCATTTTGATAAGACAGGTCTCTGCAGAAATATGTAATCCTTTTATAAATAGTTAAATCTTTGGAGATAGAACTCCTATGAAGTCACAGATAATAGGCTTTTACGTGTTATTGGAGCATTGTTGCTTAATTTTTCTGTTTTCTACTTACCTGGAATTGACCATGTCTTTAAACATTGTCCCCTCTTTACTCACAGTTTTATAAATTGATTGATGAAATTATTTGCTGTCTAATATTAGCCTCCTGGTTTGACAGATGTATTGAGTATGGCTTGTCAAAATACCCAAAACACTTAATTATAAAGCAAACTTATTCTTCTACATCAAAGCACTCTTCTGAGGGGTATTTTAAATCTGGTAGTTCACAGCTGTGGCTTGTGGACAAGCAGCATGTGGCTTGGATCCCTTCTTCGACTGCATGGTAGAAACAGTTATGATGCTGTAACTCATGAAAGCCTATGTGTAACGTTGTCTTTATCTCCCAGACTTCACTATGTATAAATCTTACTGAGATGAAAAGAAAGATTATGCTTTAGTCCAAAAGATTGTAGCCACAGTAAGTGACTGGTAAATGATGATGGTATCTTTCAATGAAAATTAGGTCAGAACAGTATTAGCCTCATACTCAGGTGTATCAAGCTGTTGCAGGTAAAGATATATTTGCATGACTGCATCGCTACAGGAAGTTAGTTTTATTCATATCTTCCAGTGTAGGATAAAACACACTATTAACCTAAAATAGTTTCTTAGAAATGGCATGGAATGTGTAGATTGAAGGATGCTCACACAAGCCAGTAACGTGGAGATGTTTTCTGGGCAGTAATAATTCTGTGAAGCAGCCATTCCCGAATGCTGGAACAAGCTTAAAGGCATCTGTGACTTCTCCTGGCAGAATGGGGCAACAACACACGGCATTCTGCACAGCCTGAGCTACCTTACAGCAGAGAAAAGACATTTTGGTCAGAATTCCAGGAGGTACCTTGTAAAAAATAGGGATTGGTTAAGCAATATTTTTTTCTTTTCAGAAGGAGACAAGCAAGAGTCTTCTGTGTTCTGTGACTCCAGACAGCCTAGTCCAGGATTGCAGCTGTATCGAGCTGCCTTTGAGAAGAATCTTCCCGATATGGCAGAAGCATTGGCCCATGGAGCTGAAGTAAACTGGGTCAATGTAGAAGAAAACAAAGCAACACCACTCATTCAGGCAGTGCGAGGGGTGTGTAATATGCAGCACTGACTGATATGGGAGGAGGGGAAGGGGAATGAATAATAGAGATATTTCTGTGTCACTGTTCTTTCTGTGCTGCTTGCTTTGCTAATGAATGATGTGATGCTGAATTTGTCTTTGCAGTGTCCTCTCAACGTTGTTTCTAAACTATTTTTTCCTTTTAGTGCTTTGTTTGGAATTATATAACCTAGCAGTGTTTAAATTTCATATGGAAGCAAATCCTTTTTGTTTCCTTTGCTGTATGACTCAGTGGTGAGAAGGCAGAACAGGTTTGGCTCTTACTCTAGAGCTGGTGCTGAATTGTTTCTTCGCTTTTATTTCTTAGGGTTCGTTGGTTACTTGTGAATTTTTGCTGCAGAATGGGGCCAATGTGAACATCAGGGACATGAAAGGAAGAGGACCCCTGCACCATGCCACGGTTCTAGGACACACTGGGTAACTCACTCCTCCAGAATTTGTAAATGGCCATCCTTTACTATAGTTATCAATGTGAAGCTTCTTTACTTCCCCAAATATTCTGGCATTTTAATGTATTTCAGGTGATCTAGGTTTTTCTTAAACTTTAGTGGTGAGAGAGGAAATAATATTTTGAATTAGCAGTCTGAGCCGCTAGCAACACACACCTATAAAAGCACTTTGGTCCATTTTGTAAAAACATGTATTTAATAATGCTTTGAAACAGCATGAACTTTTGGGGAAGACTCATGAGACTTTTTTTGCGTTTTCTTAAGAAAGATGACACTAACAGGAGAAATAGTGGTGTGTGAGGGCCAAGGCTTTTTCTGGCTCATCCCGCCTGTGTGTTGCACTGAGAGTGTTATCTCTTTTCAAAACGTACTGTGTTACACCTTCAGTTTTGGAATCATGGCTTTTAACTGAAACCCTGTACCAGCTCAGCTCAAATGAAGACGTAGTAATTTGTTTGGTGGTGCCCAAACTCTTTGCATGCGTGAATTCTAAATAGAGTGCAACAACCTGGAGGAGTTTAAGAAGTAAGCATAGTCAGTATGCCCTGTTTATAAAGGTGAAGAACAACTATAATCGCAGAGAAAAATGAGATCAGTTTCTATTGAGTAAATAGGGCACCTGTGAACAGTATTCTTTCCTGTATTTCCTGCTCAGTGATCCTTGTCTGTCACGGTAAAAGGGATGAGGTTTTTTGGTTCTACACCTGTGATGATACAGGAAGGTAGAGTCTCGCTTCTAGAGTGTTCAACTCCTTGCTGCACTAGCGTGATTTGAGTTGGACTATCTTTCTAATGTGCTTTAAATAATTAAAGGTTTTGCTTATTAGTCGGTTAACATCTTAGCTGTTCTAGATGAACGGTGCTGTTTTGACATGTTCAAGAGACTTGGCGATTTAAGCCAAATACGTTGCATCCAGATGGAATTTATTTGCTTTTTTCCTTTATTGTTGTGAAAATTATTCTTAATTTTTATTACTTAATAATTCTTTTTTTCTGGACAGACAAGTGTGTTTATTTCTAAAACGAGGAGCGAACCAGCATGCCACTGATGAAGATGGAAAAGATCCATTGAGTATAGCAGTAGAAGCTGCAAATGCAGATATCGTAACATTGTAAGTTGTGCGTTCTGGTTTTGACTGGGTAATTACGTTTTCCTATTCTGTTTCAAGTTAAAAATATAAGAAATGTCAAAATTGCTTCACACACAAACAGGGAAAGCAAAATAAAAATCGGAGAGAGTGCACTATCCATAGATGACCTTGCTGGCATGAGGTTCAGGAGTGCATTGTAGATCTTTAACTGCAGTCTCTTTTAGTGCTTTAAAGATGACACTGTTCTTTTTGTTTCCTAAATCATAGGTTGCGTTTAGCAAGGATGAATGAAGAAATGCGTGAATCAGAAGGACTTTATGGACAGCCAGGTCAATACTCTACTAATAACCATACTGAAATGCAGTATAAGAAGTGTATCCAGGAATTTATCAGTTTACAATTAGATTCTTAGTATCTGAGGGAAACTTAAGATAGCTTCATACAATAATGTTTTTTATAAATAACTGACACATGTTAGAGCTTCATTGAAATTCACTGGTGTGACTTTGTCAGAGTATTTAGGGCGACCTAAAAGGAGTGTTTAAAGTACATTATTGTAGTAGTGTATGTTACTACAGCCGTTACCAACCTGTTTTGCTGGTAGTTTTCCAGTTTTCTCCTATTGATGTTCCACGTAATTAGTTGAATGAAATTCAAGTTAGGATTCACCTGACATTATTTAATAGCAGCCTTCTGACCCAGGTTGCTCAGACACAGTTGAGGAGTTCATCTTATTACAGGATGCCATTCTCCTTTCTGTGGAATGGTCCTCTTTTTTTTTTTTAAGGAAAAATGCTTGCACACCAATGTAAAAATGCACATCAAATATTTGAAAATAACTCCAGACGGAAATAGGAGGTAATATTTCCTCAAATTTTATTTTTAAATATTTTTATTTGCCAAGATAAAATAAGAAACAAAACAGTCATTCTGAGGTAGGTAATTTTCTATCTTACCATTTGATTAAAAAAAAAAAAAAAAATTGGCAGATGTTTGAGCCAACTGGTACGAGAAAGTAACAAATTGTATTTAATGAGTACGTCCACTTTATTCTCAGGCACTCAGTCCCAATTTACAGGATGTTCTGTGATATTTATCACATGCTATGTGGTATTTATGCAAACCATTCTTCTATTATGGTATGCTTCCATAGGAACCTAATTTGATCTCATGCAAGTCTCAATAATGAAGGTGCACTTGATTGTCAAGTTAGACAGCTAAAACCATGCTGCTGTACCTCGCAGTAGTGAAAGGCAAACCTTGTTTTTAAGGTTGAGTGCTGAGAACTGTTGGCTCACTCCTATAAAACCCTTACATATTTTGCACTGATTCAGAAGGATTGTGAGTGCTATTGTCTCTTACCAGATTGAGGCTGGAATATACTCAAGGGGTAACATTGAGTCTTATGTCAGTATCCCAGATGAACTCTATTAAATAAACCAAATTTATTTAGTTTCTCATTAAGAATAGATGTTTTTCAAATTTATTTTTAAACAAATCTTCTAGGAAATTAAAACAATAAAAGTACCATAGACACTCAGACATTCAAAAGCTTTCTTTGGCAGAGCAACAGATAATTTAAAGTATATACTTGACTATGAGCTTAAATGAGGAAGAATTCCCCACTCGGAAAATGCAGCAGGCTACGTATATGAAAAAAGTCTATTGCCAGTTTGTCCCTTTTGAATGTAAAACTTTCCTGGTATGATGCATACTACTTCACTGACAGGCTGAAGGTAACAAATACTGAAGTATTTCCGAGTCTCCTCAAAAAAGAACAGCTATCAGTTTGAAATAGTAAAATGCCTTTGTTTTAAGGGAGGTAGGTGTTCTGATTCAAAAGCTCTGTGCTAAATCATGAATTAATATTTTAGATAGTTTAATTGACCTGTCACAGATCCAAAATTATTATAAACCAGAAAATATGCTTCTATAGTTTATACAAAAAGCCTCAGTTGGTTACTAAACATTAAAGTGTTTAGTAAAATGTTTCGTTCGTAACAAATACAGGGACTCTTACAGAATGTGTTTAAACTGGAGATGGGGGAGACTATTTTCCCTGACACTTTGTTTAAAATATTTTTTTAGATATTTCAATTAAGTAGATGAAATAAAAAGCTGGTGAAGTCTTTCATTGACAATATCTTGACCTTTTTATCAGTTTGTATTACAGCTGTTGATACAATCTGATCCAGATACTTTACAGATAGTATCTGATCTTTGTAAACAGGCAGGATTGACAATGGAAAGTAGGTCTGCCGAAACAGGCAGAGCTTGCCTAAAACCAGGGGGAGGGTATCATTAGAAGAATCTTTGAAATTCAGGCCACAAGCTGTAGCACAGTGTTCCAGCCAGGAGATCTTCCCGTGTCTTTGGATAGCATAGCTCTGCTCTCCTTGATTCTTTAATTGCTCAAGTCTCTTCTAAAAGTTGAAGTAAATATTTCAGTGTTTTAAATGTTTAGCCTGCCAGAAGGGTTGTGTAAGTGTAAGCACAAAACCTGTCTCTGCTGTCGCAAGGTAAGATACCCTTGCATGGTCATAGAGGAGGCAGGCCTTTTTCACTGCGTATACATGTTAAATTATCTGCACTGCCCTTATTTTAGAATTCATCTTTTCCAAAATTATGCTTCTAGAAAAAAATAAGGATTTTCAAGACAATTTTATGTTTGCTGAGAGCTGTGTGAGGGTAAATATTGATTGTATGAGTTTGCTGTCATCAGAGTGAAGCCAACTGCCTATTTCTCTGCTTTAGTAACACAGTTGATAAACAGTTATTAATGTAGCTCATGGCATCAGCATTTCTAATTTAAATATACCCAGCTGGTTTGAGCTACTGAGAGAATGTGTATATATTGCTTTGCAAGGTACAGCTGGTCTTCCAAAATATTGCTAGAGTGGGAACTAGCTGAAACTAACTTGTTCCACAAAAAGCTCACTTCTGGTGGTAGAAGCCATATGCACCATTGTACTGTTTCTTGTATAACACTTGAGTGCTCATCTTCTGGTGCTACAGTATGTCTGCTAACTCTTTGATGTTAGTATTGCTACTTTTTCTTCCTATCTTTTCTTGAATGTATGATGTGTGCCTTTTGAGTTACTCTGGTGTTAAATGGTAAAGCAGTGTTATAGTATTTTTGTACATAAAATCTGCACTTTAGGGAAAACATTGCTTGGAAAGGGAATTTCCGGAATTCAATTTTAAAATAGGATTTTAAAATAATTATAAGGTTTACAGTATTAAGTATTTTAATGCAGCATACAAACTAAAGGGGCACTTTATTTTAGTCTATTTTTGTATGTAATATTTTTGTTATGTAATAGAGCCAAAAACAGAGCCACAATGTCTCTTGCAAAAATAGCTTTTGTTTTTTCTTTCAAGTTAATTTGAAAGAGCCAAATATGGCAACTTGAACTACAGTACAAGTTCACCAGTGGAGCCCACTTCTGTTTTAAAAGCGTAATTGCTTTTATTATACAAGCTTGATTCCAATTTGTGCTTTTCATAGCTGTTCTTCTAGTGAATGTTACAGCTCCCTCCATTCTGTGCTTATGTCCTACTGCAAGCAGTTATCAGAAACTGTTACAATAAAATGTGTTCTGTGCCCGCTTCATCTCTAGAACAGACTTAAAACTAAATCTGAAAACCAAAAGGGAATTTCACTAGAACTGACTTTTCCTAGTAAAGCAGTATTGAATGTATTTATCTTTTAAAGTCTGGGAAGAATTGTGTCATTACTTTTTTACATAAACCCACATGCTGTGCATGTTAAATATTTCTGGAAGGTCAGTTGTCATTTCTGAAAGTGTTTTCAAATGAATGGAGTTTCACCTCCAAAATAATAATAGTTCTAATATTGGAAATGTGAATTAAAAGATGGAAAACCAAAACACTGTAACTTTTCACTGTAGTGTAAACTGAAACACAAAAATACCCTTTTTAAAACTGCCCTTTGGAAAAAAAGTGGTGGAATAATATTTTTCTTCCCCAATCATATTGGGGGGGATGTGGAATCTTCATGCTCAACAAACATGATAGGAGAGGTTTGGAGTTGGTTTCTTTGTCATGCTATTAATCAAGCTGTCAGCAAGGAACAGTATTGCTGGGATCTTGTGTCCTTTGTGGTCATCTGTGTTAGGAAGACAGTAAAATTTGGATGGCTGCATATAGTTCCTGACCAGACCAAACGTTTTATGCATTTAATTCCCTTTGAAGGCAATAGGGCATGGTTAATATTTTAAAGTGAAACCTGAACTCTCAAGGCCCAAAATGCTGCAACGGATGGAAGAATGTGAAAATGTCCACTTTAAAGTGGCAAAAGAATGACTCGGCAGTGACTCGAGAAGTAATAGTTCCTGAATGGGTTTTCCTGTGTAGAGGGGGAGGGAGACAGGCCTGGTAGGAATTGCTGCCATCCCTCATTTTGGAACATGTACTAATAGTCAGGTTGTGTTTAAGCACAAAGGGTGAAGATAATAAATAAATAAATATTTGAAGAAAGTGTCATCACTCTTATAGATAAAATTAAAAGATGTAATGAATGTTCAGTAACGCATGTAAAAATTTATATTTGCTCAAGTAATAGACCAAAAAGATTTATGAGTAGTAATTTCTGTACTTAGGATTGCTTTTCTTTTTATACTATTGCTTGCTGATTGTTTCTTTCATGGAGAGTTCTGTCTGGCTGTAAGACTTCTGACCTCTTTCCAAGTAAATCTTTATTTATGCCATAATTCTACTTTCTGAAGAGAACCTTGGTTAGCGCTTCCTTGCAAAAATAAGGATTTTATTCTTTAATGGCTAATAAACATTTTTCTTTTTATGTTGCTTTAAAATGCTTTCATTTTTCCTTTCTAACTCCGAACTTTCCTCTGTGTGGCTGCCTGTGAGGTACTATTTCAGGTATAGTTTGGCTTTGTTTCATTTGCTTCTACAGAACGTGCATGCAAGTAAACAGTCCCAAAGAGCCCACATCAGCATCATTCCATCTATAAGCAATTTTTAAACATGAATAAGTGTAACACAGTGATTAGTGGCACAGTAGGGCATTTGTGCAATGGTGGGTGATGTTAACTATCACAAATGTTTAAAGCTGTTTCCCTTTTCTTTTTTACCTAGGAGACGAAATTTATCAGGACATTTTTCGAGACTTTTCTCAAATGGCATCAAATAATCCAGAGAAACTAAACCGTTTCCAGCAGTCAGATTCTCAGAAGTCTTAAATGTCAAGAAGGAAAAGAACCTGATCCTTCTAGTGCAAGTCTTTTTTTACTTTAACAGAATGAATTATATGCATTTCGTTAGATAGTTTGGATAATGACCACTCTAATGTAGCTTTAGATTGTGGTAGCTGGGGAAATGTACGAGTTGTTTTATGTTCTACAGTATGTATACCTCAGCAGCTGAAGAAAACGTTTAAAAAAAAAGAACACCTAGCTCAGTATAAAAAAATAGTATCTGCTAGCAAGTATGCAGTTTGTCTGTGGTTCGTACCTAAAGTCAGCAGAGCGTGGCTGCGTGCGTGGCAGACTCCGGGTGGCAGGACGATCAGACCAGCTTTGCTGTTTAGTATCACCTACTGTCATCTGTTTCCCTGTTGCCATAAAGCATGTGCCTCTGACAAGAAGGTCTGGGTTGCATTTTCTGGGACTGTTTGGAAGGGAAATCAGGTAATGACTTACTGAGTGGCCCTTCTATTTGTGGGCCTATAGCTTAACAGATTCTCTTGTTCCTATGCTGACTCTGGTTAGAGGTCAGCTGCTAATAACAAGTCATGGTAACTCCTGCTCTTTTGCAAGCCCTTTCACAGTGGAAGCTTTAACACCAGGCTGGCCTTTATGCTGGTGACTGCGGGTCAGTCACAATAGGTATATATCCTGGAGGACCAAACGTCTAAGAGCAGTCCATTTTCCTTTTTTTTTTTTTTCTTCTTAAATTAAACTTTCTGTGCAGCAAGTATACTTTTAAATGAGCATGTGGAACCTTTCATGAAAAATAAACTTAATCCTTCTGGACATGATGTGGGGTTTGTTTGTAGTATTTTGACATCAAAACTTGAATTTGAGACCTAAAAGTAAATACTGAGCCAATGGAGTTTGTGTAGAACAACCGTACAAAGGCTGTTTGTTACCTTTTCTTTTTGCTGTTCTATTAGCCCTAAGCTGAATATGTAAAATCTCATACGTAAGGCAGCCACCCTAAATTTAGGGCAATCAATCCTTTATATCAGGAAGCAAGTATCCTTTATATAATCTGCAAAGATGTATATGTATACGTGTTGCCTAAACTAAGGTATGCACAAGAAAACTTAGGAATTTCACTGCATGTTTATGCAAAGTGATGAATGAGCATAGGCTCCAGCTGTATTTTGGGGTCAGCAACACAATTTGCTTTATTCAGTAGTGAGCTCCGCTCTGCTGATGTGCGTGCATAAATGGTGTCTGTAGATACATGCTGATGTGTCAGTTATTTAATACCTAGATAGTAATCACCTGAAGCCCCAAACCAGCAGATGCAGTTCTTTAAGGTCTATTTATCTGCCCTATGGACAACTTAATGGAGAATTTTTAGGTAATGTAATATCAGTGCAAACTTTGAGTAATTTAGGATTATAAAATATAGCCGTGGCATTATGTAAACCTGCTGTTTAAACGTATTTAGGAAATTAATTGGCTTTTCTGCAAGCTGGCCAAGATAAGCAAAATTGGGTAAAAAAAATTCTGTAAACTATGGTAAAATTAAAGTGTATTTAGTCTGAATAATAAGAAACTTAGGAATATCACCTGTAAGCTGTAACTTGTAGTAATTTTTAAATAGCTGTCTATGAAATGATAATATACTTCCTAATCTGCAGTATTTAACAGCAGTGGATGTTTTAGTAGATCTTAGAGAAAGTAAAATACCCAGTGTACAGATGGGAAAATGTAAGATACAACTATGTATAGTATACACTTTAGACATAGGTTTTTCTGAAGATTTGTCTTTTGCAGCCTACATGACAGGCAGTATATAGTGTGTAACGTAAAGCTACCAAAAGCTTAATGGCATAATCTCTATCTTGGTCCATGCTGCTGGAAGACAGTGTCCAAGACACTTACTTCAAATCTCCACTGGTATTTTCCTTCCTAGCCACAAAAATCTCTGTGACAGATTTTGCAGGATGACTTGCTGTAGACAAAAATGTTTCTTCCCTGTAGCTCTGCAGGTTCATGTGCTGCATTCCTGACTCACGTCTGTCTATGCTAAAGGACAGATAACATAATGGATCCACAGGTTGTGTTACTCTTGTCAGGAGCTCTGGAGTTTTAATGGTTCAGGGAGTAGGTATGTCACTTCCGATCCTGCAGCCTCATTTCCCAGTCCTTTTAGGTAAGCTGGGACATCCAGTATAAACTGCATTCAGTTAAAGCTTTTTTTCAGGTCAGGTGCAATACATGTGTTATGTTGCTTATCAGCAAAAATGGATATGCCATTACGTTACATGAAATGTATTGAAGGCCTAGTCCTACCGGACGCCAGCAGGCTCAGTGCTCCAGGGCCTCTCACTTGCAGGATTCCGCCCTCAGTAACACAAAGTATGGTTGTCACCAGGGCTCTGAAGATCTGGATTCCAGATCGCATTCTGACCTAAATGCTAACCTTCTGCTCGATAGTACTAGGAAACTCCATTTTTATTACAATACAAATCTGGGTATAACTAGAATAGTAGACAGTAAGGCTCTGTTGTGGGTTAACGTCTTGTACTCTGTACCAGTTAATGGAAAGCTGCAATTCCAGTTCATGTTTCTCTGTAGGTATGAAATATAGTAGGTCTTAATTGGTGAGGTACAAAGCAGTAAATTCCTGACAGTTTAAAATCAGCTTTTACGTGGATTTTTAGTAATTTACTAGATAGCCCATTGAAAGACTTTATAACATTTTCCCTAGCCAGAGTTAAATCATGTGCTCCAAAAGTCTCTTGGGAAGACAAATGTCAGGAAGCTCAATAAATATTCTAATGCATCTTGATTTCAGAGGTGTAATTTACTTATGTTGCATGTTAATTAAAATGGTGTTTGTGGTGTCTCCTTAGTGGTCTATGTTGTTTTGATTGTTCATAAGGTTTCATATTTTATGTTAATGTCAGTACAGTGCATATAAACTTAAATTGCCAAATTATCATACTGAATTATGCCACTGAATTACATTAGACATGCTGGAATTTGTTCCCATAAATTTGGGTGAAGGTGGTAGATGCTAGAAGTCTGTCCTTGCTTTCACAAGCTGCAGATACTGTGGCCTGAAGTTTCAGTTGTTCATTAGTATGTTGTGAACTTCAGCCTCCTTGCCAATTGGGACCTAATCTGAGAAGTCACTGAAATCAGTGGCAGTCTTTCCACTGACTTCAGAAGCTTTGGATTGAACCTTCCGTGGCTTCTAATGTTAGTCTGTTAAAGGATCCTGTATTAATACTGCATTTCTCACTCTGGGGTTTTATATCTTACCTGTTTATATACTGAGCTGAAACAGTTTCAGAAAATGCAACCCGACCTTCCAACTGCGGTCAGCAAATCCCCATAGAAGAGGAAGTTTCTCCTGGTTTGCAGTATGACATCAGTACACACATGTTGTCCAAATTATTAGAGTTCTCCGTGATTGGGCAAAAACTTTGTAGCACTAAACAATACAGGTAAGAACTAGAATAAGCATAGGGTTGCCTGTGATGTTTCCAGGACTCTGGTGCTTCTCTGCAGCCATGTTTGGCAATGTGGATGTTAACTCTGCTTCTTGATCATGGGAATCTCAAATGACATAACGACTATAAAAGGACCATTTGATAGAATTACAAATAATGTGTAAGTACTAAGGACACAGTATTTTTACACTGTCAAATCGACTGAGCTGTTTATTCTGATTATTTAAATCATCAAAGTATTTTGAGAGTCACTTTTGCAAAACACCCTCTCTCCCCATTCACCGATGGACACTTTTTCCTGAGTTAGAATTTATGCCACTTGTTTGTGCAGCCTGATAGCTGAAATGTCTTGCTCTCTTGCTTGCATAATAGCACGTTTTTAAAACTGGGACCACTCCAGAAAGGAATCGTGGGTACAAGGATGAATGTACTACTTTGGTATATCCCCTTTCATATGCTTGCGTTATCTTACTATACAGTATTTTCTTGTTTCTCTTCCCATGGAAGGAGATAATAGAGGAAGAAAAAAAATCCCACTCACTTTTCTGTTAGGATCCTAGAATGTTTTGATAGAAATTTCAGAGAAATCATTGTTTCCTCAAGCAGAGGTGTTACTCTGTTTGAAACAATGACCTTTTTTCCTTTATCCATGTGTCGCTCTCAACTTGGTGTTTTTTAAGCATTCCACCAGTGAACTGCTCGCATTCTCCTGTGAAATCTTCCCCCCGAACATGTAACTGTAAAGAATGTATAACCACCCCAGTTCGCCTTTCATAGGGCTGTAGCCTTTGTATCTGAAACATGAATGTAGTTTTCTGTAGTTTGTCATTGTAAAGGAGCGAAACGCGTTATTACCTTTGTAACTAGCCCTCTGTACATGCTGTAAGGACTGTAAATACCGCACTCTATTAAACCTTTGTATGCCTGGCGGCGCTCTTCGTTCCCGGCGGTCCCGCCCCCGCCATGGCGGCGCTGTTCC